GTCCTATCCTGATGATTGTCCATCACTTGGATTTAGTCCTTACATACAATCGCTTAACGACTTAACCATGGCGACTGAAATCGACAATCCAAACTACGTGGAAACCCATCTCCCCCCCTCTGTTATCAAGCGGCTGGAATCGGGAGCTTTCGAACAACTTTGTACGCATCTGCGAGAGCGAAGCGATGAAGTGCAAAACATCGATTTGATGACCGTCTCTGGGTTTTGTCGGAACTGCCTCTCCAAGGTGAGTGGTGGATTGTCACGAAATGAGAACRCAAGTTTGGGACTTTGTGGAATTGAATAGATCGAACGATGCTACATGTAGTGTGGTGTTCCTAGGTTTGTATKTTCGGAGATTTTGCTAACCGATCGYCGATCGCCTGTTCAAACAAACACTGCCCATTGTCTCAGTGGATGGTCGTGGAAGCCCGTAAGCTGTCCGATAGCATCCAGAAGAAGGCGGCCRATGGAGAAGAGGATAACGAGGATATCGTTCGRGCCCTRGACGCCATGGGTTATGACGAGGCCGCACAGTATGTTTACGGTATGGCGTATCCCGAYTGGAAGAAACGGCATGCCCAAAAGGCGTCGGACGATCAAATGGAAAAATTCAACGAGAGCAAACCACTGTGGGCGRCCCACGACAAGAAGKTTCTAGCAAAGCGGTCCGAGGAGCTGCCTCCACCTCTGCCTGTCGACAGCAATGGCAAGAATACAGCCGAWGCCCCSGTCTGCGCAATAAATCCAAGCAAAGACAACAACAACGGAACGACAACCAAACCATCTCTTCTTTCGAATGTGTGCTGCGAAGACATCGACAGCATCGACCATTCGAAGCCAAAAACTGCCACAGAAAACRCACYCTCCTCTGCTGTACAAAGTACTGCGAGCAGTGCCTTTGCTCCACCTGACCTGCCAGCTGATCTTTCCTTTTCCTTGGGAATTTTGACCGTCAGCGACCGAGCCTTTTCCGGAGGCTACGAGACCGGAGATCTATCGGGACCCGCGGTTCGTCAGGCARTCGAGTCGATTCTCGAAAGCAGCAGCGCCGGAGCCACGCTGGAAGGCGTCGAAACCGCAATCGTCCCGGACGAGAGCGAGGCCATYCAGCAAAAACTCACGGGATGGTCCTCGTCCGCCGCTCCGCTCGATCTGGTGATCACCACGGGCGGAACCGGGTTTGCYCCGCGCGACGTCACCCCCGAGGCGACCGCCGCCGTGSTAGAGCGCTCCTGCAGCGGGCTGATGGCCTTTTGCGGCATGCACACCCGGAGCCAACAGCCCCTGGCGGCGCTGTCCCGGGGGACGGCCGGGGTCAGGGGCAAAACCCTGATCGCMAACCTGCCGGGGAACCCCGAGGCCGTCCGGGAACTCCTGCCAGTGCTCCTTCCCCTAGCTTTGAAGGCCGTTGCGGACATGAAWACAACTATGGGGGAATTCTAGAGAGAATGCTGKCSAAGAATCAGACCTACTATTTGCTTCGTACATCTTGCATAAATAGTAGTAATCATAGCATTGTAGATAATCTTGATTGTCYATCGTTTTGAATCGGTGTCTCTTAGAATGTTTTATCCAGATTGTACAGCGAAGAAGTAGTTGCGGGCATGCACCTGGCTTGGTGACCTGGAATAGCGAGAGTGGTATGATCTATTGGGGAGGAGTCCGAAAGTGCCATGCTCATAGTCCTAGGAAATGTAGACGCAAACTGAACAAAGTTGCACTTGTGACCACACCCCGTGGGACATACAGTTCTCACGGCCCTACCATCTAGACCTCCAAACCATTGTARTGCGTGTTCCAGGTGGCCTCCGTGCCCGCATCCCGGGCACCACACAAAGACTCCGTTCACTGGTTCGTGACAAATAAAGCATATGCCAACACGTCGGCGACAATTCTTGCAAACCTGCCGAGAGGAGCCGGAGGATCCAGCGTTGCTCACGCCATTGGCTCCGGAGGTATCGGCTGTCGAATCCAGGGGTTTTCCGCATCTTGGACAGGATTCGTGGAATCTGAGATAGAGGATGAAAAAGACGTGTCAGAAGCCCGYTGTGATACAAAAGATTCGTCGGTTTTGGCTAGGAAAATCTGAGGTAAGTACACTTTTTGTACCAAAATAGTTTTACTTACGTTGTAGATTGCTGGCTCAATGCACCGATGGCAGGGTCCTTCGAATGTTTGATAAGAAATGCTGCCTCCGAGAACAGACACATCTGATGCAAAAGATCGATGTACGATAAATACCATTCCCGGACCAATCGTATTCCGAGACCTGGAATACGCGTTTTTTCTCCACCGGGATCAACAACCTGAAGGACCTCGCACAGCGCAACATTTGTTTGAACATCACCGGCTTCAGCCCTTTCAAAAAGCAACGACTTCACCGTTGGAAAAATGACAAACTGGAAGGCATTTGCGGGACTCGCAGAATCGTGGGCTGGGAGCTCGTCCAACCCCGAGGCATCGAGCAGCGTAGCAACGGTTTTCCACATGCGCGCTAGAGGCCTGCATTTCAGCTGTTCTGCGATCGTGCTATTGTAGAGACACAGTTCAACACGGGTTTGGCATTGGTTGTCCGGATACATCTTGTACAAACGAGCAAATCTCGATAAGTGAAGAACCTCCGGGGCAATACACAGCGTCTCTTCCTCGTTTTCAATGGGCATCCCGTTGGCATCTAAGCTGCCCTGATCTAGAACCGAAAAGCGCAGCTTTGGTACCAAGACGGGGAGTCGTTTYCCGACACCCTCGACTTCTTTTTTCTTGTTCACAAGATGTTTCTGAAGATCTTCCTCGAAGAACACGCCCGGTGCTTTTGCTGTATGCTCATCCTGTCTCAAACCGGTAAGCATAAAATCGTCTTCTGCACGATTTGGTACGTCCTGGTATACACTGAAGCACTGCAATGACCCGTAGCCTTCTTGAAACGGGGAAAGATTGGCCATTGCAAAGCACGATGACGGCACGTGACGAATCCTGCGTTCTCCCCTTGCGAAGCTCTGCATGATGCACTGGCCATCTCGGCCGACGCTTAGAACGTTTTGCCATATGTAGGAAACAGACTTAACTTCGGTRGCTTGCTCGTCTCCTCGATAGTCCAGATCGGAGAAATCCCAAGACTTCTTCCGAAGTCTTTGCGAGCTCGTCAGCGCTGACAGACTAGATTCCGAAGCTAGGTGCTTGAATCCCATTCTATCATGCTCCTGCTGCTCGCTAGCGTGTTTTCTGTGGGGGACGGTTTGGGGTGTTCTGACCCATACAAAATCCGAAACCGCGCTTTCTTCGTGTCCTTCTACAATGCTGAGCGACATGAATGGCCGGTGGAACGACCACAAACTCAGCGTTCCCGAGCCCCCCGCACTGGTAAGCCTTGCAGTTGCCACGGCCAGCATCGAATCGTGCCGGTCGACCATCGTTTCGTTCTGGTTCGGGTCATCGCTGTTCTTGTCGTTCGGACCAAAGTCATTGGACGGTGGCCTCCAGCGCACCTGCGTGACGGAAGCAGATATTGAGAGCACGTACTTGGAAAACCCTGACGAGGTAGATTTGTGGTGTCTCCCACCCATAGACCAGGCGGATGCCGTACTTCGTGACGTTAAATCCCATTTGTTTGGTGGGCCGTACGACGAAAGACTCGCACCGCCAGCAGAAGAATGCCTTTGGAACAAAATCAAACAAAACAAAAACAAATCGAAGATGAGAGACCAGTTCGAAACGAAGATAACTCCCAAAACATCGATGCTAAKAATTTTACGTACAGGGACTCGCCAGAACTAGCACTGTAGGTAGACGAGGAACTCGATTTGGTGCTGCCGTGTGTGTTCGAGTTTTCTTGGTGGTGGTGCAGAACTTCCTTCCGCGGATTGTTCCTCTTGGAATGGCGATCATTTTGGCTGCTAACAATCGGATCCAGCGAGGACTCCAGGTCCCACACCTTGACGAAGCGGTCTCCGGACCCACCCGTGGCCACGACGAATGGCCACCGGGGGTGCCAATCCAGGGACGCMGCGTCTCCGGTGTGGGCCGCGATCTTGACCAGCGCCTTGAYGGCAACGTGCATGTTGTACACCACGAGGTTGCCGTTCGACGTGACCACGCCAAAGACATCGGGGAGAAGACGGCTCCACTGGATGTCCCGGACCGCTTCTTGTTCCCCGAGGGAAAAGGTGGTCTTACACCGCCAGGTGTATTTTTGGCTGTTTTCCTCGTCCTCCTCGCCCGCTCGGCTCCCCTTYCCCCCMTGACCGGAACTGCCGCCCACGACGCCTCCCACGATCGAAAACCACGAGGGTTGTTCCTTGGGGTGTTGCTGTTGTTGTTTGGAGGCTTCGTGTTGCTGGTCCTCCGTCCGCGAGGGGTTTGCCAGGGCCGTTCGTTTCCACAGGATGATGCTCCCGTCCTGGCTGGCCGTCAGCAGGAGCCCCGACCTGGTCGGGTGCCACGCCATGCCGTTGACCGCCCGGGTGTGCTGGTTCAGAATCGCCTCGGGCTGCTGCGTTCGCTGCTGCTTGGCGAGAATGGAAGCGGACGAGGGCGAGGAAGYCCGTGTCTTTTTCGAACCACCGATGCCAAAGCCACCGCCCTTGCCCCCCTTGGAAGCCTCGCTCGGTTTCCCGAAATCCGAAAAGAGCAGCCGCTTGGCCCTCCAGACGGCCACGACCCCGTTTGATCCCGCCACCGCCACCAGGCTCTCGTCTTCCTTCATTGTTTCCTCGTCTTCTCCTTCCAACCCATCGCCGTCCGCATCTTCCACGGRAGCGCTCTTCCTTTGTTGTCGGCTGCTCCTCCGCCTCCGTCCCTTTTGCGTGTTTCCCCGGTCGTTCGCATCCGYGGCCCTCGTGCTCAGGGAGAGAGCCGCCGATTCGTCCGTGCCCGCATCGGCGGCCGATCCGGTGGCTCCGGCGTTCGAGCCCCKCTGCGAAAGGTTTCTCGTGCTGTGTTTCAGAGCGGGCAGGATGCCCGCGGCGGAGTAGTTGTTGCTCCAGGCAACCTTTGTCACGGTGATGTTACCGAATTGCTGGTTCAGGTTCATGTTGGCCACACCGGCGGTGACGGCGGAAGCGCGGGTTTCCGCGGCCAGGTGAAAGATTCCACTCAGATCTCCGTACTGCTGCTGCTGTTGCTGCTGCGCTTTGCCCGTGCCACCGGCGGCATCGGGGGACGGAGCGGATGCCCCGGGGTTGTAGAAGTGGTGGGAAATCTTCAGGGACCGGACCCGCTTCAGGCCGTCGGGTCCGACGGAAACCAGCTGGATCGTGTCCTTTCCCGCAACCAGGGCGTAGCGGCCCTTGGGGGACAGAGCGAGGGACGAATAGGACTGGTTGGCACGGGATCGGTCGGTCGCGAGAGACGCTACRACCACGGCGGGCCTKGCTCCCTTTSGATCCGCGGTGCTGCGGGTCGGTGGTGTATCGGTCTGCTGTAGTTGCTCCCGCCGTTGCGGCCGGAGCTTCTTCTCGGGAGAGAGAACCGTCCTCTTCATGGTGGCGGTGTGAAACTACTGGAGTTCTTTGCTTTATCAACCTCTTCCTGTTGGTTTCATTATTGCTTGCGCTATTTCGATTTGTGGATTCTAACAATCGCGGACGCAATGCTTGCGGGGACTCGGCTGGCGGTGATGCTGATGCTGATTCTGTTCCTATTCCGGTGTTGATGGTTGAGTATATGAGGAAGTACGAAAATACTTTCGCAAATTTAGCGGTGTTGCCATTCAGAATTTTGGCAGTGCGATGGTTTGTTGCGGAGGATGAGATCTTTTCGGTGATAGATAGAGTCGAATCTGTCGATTTTTTCATCAGTAATCCGATTTTCGTTGGACTCATAACCGAATCCAAATCGGTACACCGAGTTCGCAACCTTACACTATGTACATATAAATCATACWATTGTATGATTGGTACGTACTTGGTCCATTAGAATAGAGAATCAACATCAAAATCACCGACGATCTTTTGCGAGGATGATGGTAAACAAGAAATCGATCCCAAATTCCGTAGCAGATCGAGGAGTGAAAAATCTTTGGATTGGCACCAGCCACATCACCATTCGTCTATCACCACAGCAGCTTGYATTCTTCCATGGACACCTTGGCGGAGCAAAGGACATTMATCTCTCAGCAACACTGACGAGTGGCTACGATACCGATAGATATTGCAAATGAGGAACCAGTACTCCTCCGCAATTCTTTTTCTTCTCGGGACCCTCGGGAGGTCCGGAAGTCATGCGTTCCCAGCGCCTTCTGTCGCCCGGKTTCCAACCTCCGGGAGGCCKGCCGTGCCTCAGAACTGCACGCGGTGTACCGGCGGAGCATTTGCGGAGAGCGACAGCGATCCCGCGGCCCGGGCTCCCCAAAACCCCGACGCAGTCCCCTCGGCGAGGAAGCTCCTCCCCAAACTSCGGAAAGYAGCTTCCGTCCTCCTGCCGGTCCTCGCCGCCGCCGTCACCCTGTCCACCCGACCCGTCCACGCCGCATCGTCCGCCTCCGGGCCGAGAAAGCTGGGGTTCTGGAACGTGTGGTCGGCCACCGCGCTCCTCGTTTCCATCGGTGCCCTCCCCCTCTCGATGTCGGGTCTGGGGTCCCTTTCGAGGAGCCTCCTGGCCAGCGCCTGCCGCTGCGCGGTGCAGGTCTCGCTCCTCGGGAGCATCGTTCTGCAGCGAATGATGGGGGTGGAACACCCGGCMCTCGTCGCGGCCTGGGTCCTCGGTGTGGGGCTCGTCACCGGGGCGACCTGYCTCTCCCGGATCCAGTACGACTACCCCGGGATGAACCGCAACATGTACGGTTCCATCGTTGCGGGGGGACTGACGGTGCTGGGCCTCACGATGTCCCTGCAGCTCTTTGGAGCCGTCCAGCCGTGGTTCAATCCCCAGACGTGGATCCCGATCGCGGGCATGCTGTTCGGGAACACGCTGAACGCGGCCGCCCTGGGCGGGGCCTCGATCACCAAGCAATTCGCTACCCGGTCGGACTCCGTGGAACTCCGGCTCGCGAGGGGGGCGACCGTATCGGAAGCCATCCGGCCGCTCGTGGAGGAAAGCTACGGGACCGCGCTGATGCCCACGATCAACAGCCTCGCGGCCACCGGGATCATCCACATCCCGGGAATGATGTCGGGGCAGATTCTTGCGGGGCAGTCCCCGCAGCAGGCGGCCCTGTACCAAATCGTCATTAGCTTTCTGATCGGCACTACCGCTCTTCTGACGGTCCGGCTCGTCATCAATTCCTCGGTTGGAGCCATGGTMGATGCGAGGGAACGAAGGTTGCGCGTGGGTGTGCTGGAGCCAAAGAAAAATGGAAGGACCACGCTGGCCTCCCTGAAATCAATTGCTTCCCTAGCGAGATGGAAGGCGCACGCGCAACCAYCAACCGACGGCTCGCCGCCACSGACTGCATCGTGCAAGAAGGTATCCCCCACYAGATTGAGCTCYGCCACAAACCGACGCAACGACAACAAGGCACCGRTTTTGGCAATACAGGATCTGGARGTGGTGAGAGCAAATGTCGAGATTGATTTGGTTCTCCGGCCCGGCGACAGGGTTGCCATCAGCGGAAAGTCGGGGATCGGGAAGAGCCAGATCCTGAGAACGATCGTTGGGTTGGAAAAAGGAGGCAAAGGAGAAAACAGCATCKCGTTGCTYGGAAACCCATTGGTACCGAGCGACCTGCCAGAGTTTCGGAGCAGGGTGTCCCTGGTTCCCCAAATGAATCCCGTTCTCGAGGGCACGCCRAACCAGTTCTACGACGAGATCGTCCGKTGCCAGAGCCAGCAGCGGCGCAGGAGTTCCGGCGATCCGGTCGCAAGGCCCAGCRACATTGCCAGCGCTTGGGGCCTCGAAGCYGGGGCCTTTGATCGGCCGTGGAGAACGCTTTCCGGGGGGGAATCGCAGCGGGCCGCGCTGGCGATTGCWCTGGCGCTGGAGCCCGACGTGCTGCTGCTGGACGAGAGCACGGGCGCGCTSGACGAGGCAACRTCSAGGMTGGTGGAACGAACGCTGAGGAAGAGCAACATCCCGATGTTGGTGGTAACCCATTCCGAGGCCCAGCTCGGGAGATTTTGCACCCATCGGTTGGACCTGCAGTAAGCGAGACCGGCAYTCTTTTTCGTAGGTAAACATGCACCAATATGCGATAAAGAAGAAGCAATTCAACTTTCATGCCTTGTTCTATAACTATCTTTGCAATGATTTGGTATCCAAAACAAAAATTGCATAATGTAGTACTAGAAATATCTGGCATGTACCCTATGTATTCCTTTCTCCCCATATCCCATATCACTACGTTCGTACGAGTACTCCTACTCGTACGTACCGGTACGAACCTTTTCATCTCTCGGACGAATTGGATTTGGTCGGTTTAGTCGAATTAGCGCTTCGAGAGACACACGACTGGTTTTCTTGTTGTGACGTGTTAATTCAACTTTTCATTCTTGCTTTCAAGTTTGAGAGTGAAAGTCAGAACTCTTGTCGACAAACTCGTAGTATTGTACTTCGTATTGCAGTAACCCGTACGAGTAGTGCTATACTAGAGTCCAATACATTACTCTAACGGCTATCAACCACGACAACGCCGTTGAAAAGCACCATCACAAAACAAACAACGAAGTCGAATACAACGACGCCTTCTGACACAAAACTAAATCTTAACGAAGTCAAAATGGGAAATTCTTCGAGCTCTTCCGCACTTCCAGCGCTGAAAACCATCGCAAATTGCGACACGAAACGCTTCATGGGCACGTGGTTTGTAGTCGGTGTGAAACCAACTGTCTTGGAAACAACGTGCTCCAACGCCGTGGAAAAATACACACTCTTGGAAGATGGAAACGGCAATCATGACATTGATATTGATTTCAAATACAACGGAAATGAGGATCCCCTTGACGAGAAAAACAAGGTCAAATCKCTTCCCCAAAAGGGATGGATCCAGGGTGACAAGTCCAAGAGCGGGGAATGGAAAGTCAGTCCAGTCTGGCCAATCAAAATGACCTACCCGATCATCGAGCTGGACGAACAGGAATACTCTTACGCCGTAATTGGATACCCGAGCCGTGCGTATTGCTGGATCCTGTCKCGGACACCCACGATGRCAGACGACCTCTACGAGGAGCTCGGAAAGAAATTGGTCGAGAACCATCAATACAGCCTTGAGGGTCTCCGAAAGGTTCCCCAGAAATGGACTGCCGACGAACGAACCAAGCGTGGTCTGACTGCAGATGAGCTGCCGGATTCCTTTTTGATCAACTAATGACGGGGATAACGAACATTCTAGAGMAGTAGCTGCGTGGCAAAATAACAATAGAAGCAGATGGCGAAATAAWAATTGAAGCATAAGGAAATGAGCAAAACRATACTCATCCCAAGTGTTCCTGAATTGAAACTGCTCGTGGAGGTGATACATTCTCAATYGTACGAGAAGACATGATCACTTGTGAGAATCAAAGTCCAGAGCCAGGCCTTTGATTGTAGCACGAAATAGTGTCATCCAATACMWAGGTTGCTTCGGATTGGAAGGTTCAGAAAAAATTGAATAAATCCGGCCAAAATGCATCATTCTATCAATAACAAACAAAACAAACWTATAGAATTGCTGCTTTTCGTCTTCAGAAACAAATTAGTAGATAGAAATTGAACTAGAAAAACAACATAATTTACCACATAATTCTATTGTAGTTWTGAAACTTCACAATCTGCGACCCCTTCGTTCTCGATCGATCCTTCGTCGTCCATGCCTGACTGATCYGATTGAATGCAATGCGTTCTATGATAGGCTGATAGGTAATTGTATTGTATTGCAAGCTTTATACTGCAATCTCCTCCAGCTCGGTGCCTCCTACTTGCTTCGTCCACTTGTTCAGCTCCTTCGAGCTGCCAGCGGTACAAAACGAAACAACGTTTCCTGGTCGAACGACGACATCACCTTCTGCCGAAGTCGATGACCGCCCGACACGGCCAGCCAAATGGAGGTACGACGCTGCCGATGATGGACGTCCCACCACAAATACGGTATCGATGTCGTCCAGGTGAAGACCCCTCGCCGATCCCTCGAAAGTGACGAGGAAGGGGGGAACCTCTTCTTCGTCCTCGTCATCTTCTTCCSTGGCGTTCACCTCAAGRCCGAGGGCCACGTGCAAGGGCTTGGCCTCGATCCCGAAGTGGGCCAAACCGGCGCAGGCCTTCCGTGCCGACAAGCCCGTATCGGGTGCTTTYGCTCGGGCCGCCGCAGCTGCCTCCGCTTTCTTTTGCTTGAGGGTCTTTTGCCTGCCTCTGCGCGGCGGCGTCTTCCCCTGGGGAGTTGTTCTCTTCCTGGTAGGTGCCGCAGATTTTTGTTTTCGGAATTCCCCGCACAAGAAGAGTAGGGCTCTCTTGGGCTTGAGAGCTTCGGTGGCTTTAGCTACGGCCTGCAGCACCGCTGCCGGTTTCGTTGCCTCATCCTTTTCGAGACGAACGTATTGGTGTTTAACCTCGCTAGGGACTGTAACCGCGCGAATCGTGTGGTCTTGTTTCTTCGRTTCGTCATCGCTTTGGTCGGATTCCGAGATCTCAGGACGACAAGGGCTGACGCTTCCGTTCCAGACCCCATCCACTGTCTGGGAAGCGTCCATTGCTGCGTCTCTCAGGGCCTTGTTGAGTCGATCSAGTGTCTTTCGGCTCGCAGTAGCACTTCCGGCAAGTACATGATATGGAGTGGGTGTGGATCCATCGGCTGTATACAATCGTCGGTTGGCAATCATTTTCAGCAAGCTTTCGGTCGGTCCAATGATTTGCTTGTCCGAGCCAAACTCGACCCCCCTTCGTTTCGCGGCCATGAGTTTTCGCTTTTGTTCTTGCCTTCGGCGCTCGTCCTGCGGCGTGTTGAATTTCTTCCCCCCTTTTCTTTCCCTTGCAGCGTTTCCGGATTTGTCGAGTGAAGTACGGAGTTGTTTCGGTGGGTTGGGCAAGAGAACATCAACTTCGTCCAGGATGACACTCGATAACACATCTCCCGCCAGGAACTCCGGCCCACCTCGAACCTCTGACAATACAAAGAGGAGTTCTTTAGGTGTTCCGATCAATACGGTCGCAGAGTTGAGTTCTTCGGGTGTTGGTATCTGCACTCCCTGAACAGCCAATAGGACGGCCAAATCACCACTGTCACTCATAGCGTCCACATTGGAAAGAATCGACGTCGTATCGCGCATGAGCTGCAGAGCAAGTTCCCTTGTAGGTGCGACAACCAGTACGGTGCCCGCTTCCCCACCTTGCAACACACCAGCAGTCTCTTCTTGCTGCTGCTTCTTTGCTACAATCTTTTCCAAAGCRGGCAGCATGTAGGACAGTGTCTTTCCGCTTCCAGTGGGAGCAATCATGAGCAGGTTTTCCAAGTCGAGAGCTCGTTTTGCGGATACCGACTGGATGGGGGTTGGAGTTGAAAACCCAAGCTTGGTCAGCGAGGTCGAAAGCGCCGGAAACAGCTCTGGGAGCTTTTCGGAAGCTGATGCAGAATCGGTTTCTACGGAGCTCTCGCTCTCGACGGCTTCTACCGTAGAGAAGAGTTTTCCATAATTGGGAGAGTTTCTTGCGASCAGCGAGGACGGAACGAACGAGGAAACTCGACTATCGTTGTTGRTGATAGCTACTAGAGCCAATGATAGAATACCGCACGATCTCATGGTATTGAATATTGTTACCCAGTGCCTGTCGAATTCAGAGGTGAACTCGGATCGAAATTTGCAGTTCCGTTGAAACTGTTCCTTGGGACGAACGTGATGGGTTGTTCGTTGATACGTAGGAGTTCCTCAGGGCGTGTGTGAGTTGGTATTTCAGTTTGGTGGTTGTGAATTGTAGACAAATAATTCCGAAAAAATATTCACCAGAAGTCAAATTATCCCCCATCCCCCTTTCAAAACATTCTGGAGGGGGACACGGCTGCCGTAAAGTACGTACGTACGGTRCGATGACCAGACTACAGGTATTTAGGAAGAATTACTTTTGACTATCGTAATCATATGAAAAAGGTCCTGTACAGAATATTGTATTTTGAGGACAGCATGTAGTAAGACCTAACATAGGTGCTTAAACAACTCAAAAACTAGGATTTTACCACTGTGGCACCTTCCAAGTTCGACAAATACGAGTCAAAATACCATCCCTTACAGCCCGAGTCTCCCCCTCGACTTTGGTGCAAATCTCGGGGTAGAACCCCCGGTCCGCCCAGGTGTAGCGACCGCCGATCGCCGTTTCGAAAGACTCTGCATCCGCTTGTTCGACAACTCGCTYTTCTTTTTCTCTTCCTCGTTCCTGGCCTCTTTTTCCGCCATTTCCTTCGCCATCTTGGCCTGCTCCAGCTTTTTCTCGTGGCGGCGTTTCAGGGTGGTCTCGAAGGATTCCTTTATCGAGAAGAACATAGGTCCGAGCTCGGCGAGCCATTCGCCATCCACGGATGTCACGCAGGACATATACTCCTTAGAGGTGCTGATCAATTCGTGGTAGCAAACGTAATCGGGTGTGTATCCGAGTCCAAACAGCGCGCTCGATGGATGCAGGGAACAGGGAATTCCGTTCAACATGTTGATATATTCGCCAATCCCCTTGATTTTGGAACTATTGTAAAAGTACGCCGAACATATTGCCTTTCGAATAACGTCCCAGGATCCCCCGCTGCTATTCGGTTCCAGCCGCTGTTGYTTCATGAGATCCAAAAGTTGGGCGTGAATCTCGCGGGCTTTGCGAATGCCCTTGGAGTGAATAAAGTGTTTCGTACACCATTCGGCATCAAACTTGTATTGTTTCGCCCGTTGGTAGACGTTTAGTAGAGTCCTGGTAACAAAAAGGAGCACACAAATAAAAGCTTTTGAGCTCAAGATGAAAAGGAATACAGTGGATCATAAAGTAACAAAACAAATGTGATGCAACGCTTTCCGAAAATACGAGATCGCCAACATGTGTCAGTAGCAACACTCACAAGTGGTCTGATTCCGGGACAAAGAATTTTTCTCGGGCGGCATCCGACTCCTCTTCCCGGTCCTTGGGCCGGAAGAAGACGCTCGGCACGCTCAGCATGCTCACGATGACCAGGACCTCCTTCGAGCAGCGCTCTTTTTCGTGCGCAAAGAGCAGCATCTTGCTCAGGGGCGGGTCGAGGGGGAAGTCGGCCATCCTCCTCCCCATGTCGGTGAGGTCCCCGGTGTTGTCCAGAGCCCCCAGGATCCACAGCTGGTAGAGTGAATTCATGATGTTTTCCTGGGGCGGGGGGTCCATGAAGCGGAAATCGAGCAGGTTTTTGATCCCGAGCGACTTGAGGAGCAGGACGACGTTGCTGAGGTTGGTCCTCTGGATCTCCGGGACGGCGGTTTCCATCAGCTCGTCCTGGAACTGCCGCTCCGTGTATAGGCGGAAGCAGTATCCCGGGCCGGTTCGGCCGGCCCGCCCGCTGCGCTGCTTTGCGTTCGCTCTCGACACGGGGGTCACCAACAGGGCGTCCATGCCGATTCGGGGGTTGTACACCTTGAGCTTGCAAAAGCCGGAATCGATCACGTAGCGGATTCCGTCCACGGTGAGACTCGTTTCCGCAACGTTGGTGGACACAATGACCTTTCGGATCCCCTTTGGTGCCGCTTCGAATATCTTGGCTTGCAGATCGGCGGGGAGCTGGGAATACATGGGAAGGACCAGCAGCGGGGGCGAGTCGTCTCCGAGCTTTTCCATCTTGTCCGCAATGACCTTGCAGGTCCCCTCGATGTCTTCTTGGCCGGTCATGAAGATGAGAATGTCCCCGGGGGGGCTGTTGAAGTGGATCTGGAGCGTCTGCTTCACGGCGGCCATCACGTAGTCTTCCTGGACGCCTTTCGCAAAGTAGGTTTCCACGGGGAAGGTCCTCCCCGGAATCCGAAAGACCGGGACGCCACCGAAATAGGAGCTGAATGCGTCCGAACTGAGGGTGGCACTCGTAACGATCAGCTTCAGGTCCGTCCGCCTGGCCACCACCTTCCGGAGGACTCCAAAGAGGACGTCGCTGTTGAGAGAGCGTTCGTGGGCTTCGTCCATGACAATGGCGCTGTACTTGTTCAGGTCGGCATCGTTGAGCGATTCTCGCAGCAAGACCCCGTCCGTCATGTACTTGATGACGGTGTCCTGGCTGGTGCAGTCCTCGAACCGAATGGCGTATCCAACGCTCCCACCGAGCTCGTCCTTTTCGGTGAGCGTGTCCCCCCGAAGCTTTCGGCAGCCCCGGACCTCCTCGCTGACGCGCTTGGCGACGCTCATTGCCGCTACGCGTCGTGGCTGGGTACAGCCAATGAGTCCGTATTTTCCGTATCCTTCCTCCATCAAATACTGCGTCAGTTGCGTTGTCTGCAAGCGTCAGAAAAAAAGTGCAGGAGGCAGCGTGAGAATCGGAAGGTTTCAAATCACACACAAACGAACCAATCCGGTTGATAATGGACAGCACCCCAAGCGAATCCAT